AGCAGTCAAGAACTTAATCCATCACACCACTGGGGTATTCTGCTGGTGAAGAATACTGACTATACCAAGGACTGCCAGAAGAACAAAGAAATCTGTCCTGGAAGAAATATAGCCAGAATGCTCCATCTTACATAGCTGGACATGTTATCAGGAGGAGCTAGACCCTAGAGGACATGGAACTTGGAAAAATAAAGGGTCAGCGAAAAAAAGGAGTATCTTCAATGAGCTGGACTGATATAATGGCTGCAACAAGGGGCTCAAACACAGTAATAATTGTGAAGATGGTACCAGACTGGGCACTGTTTGGTTCTGTTGTACACAGGGTCGTAATGAGTTGGAACTGACTTGATGGCACCTAACAACAACATACAAGTGCAACCCTTTTATGCCACGTAGGGACCTAAAGGACCACATACACGGAAGGGGAAAAAGAAATTTCTTAAAGGGAGGCAAGGCATTTCAATCAGCATCACTGTTAACTGTTCTTAATAACTCCAATGGGACCTAGGTTCCAAGAATGGACCAAAAAAGAATCTGTGTGATACTTGAGAAGTTCTTGACCTCAGCTGAAGGGGACCTTCAATCTCAAAACTAGTTTAATTCTGTTCTTTGTTATTTACTGGCTCTCACCACTGAGAAATGCGTATCTATACAATTCTGCTGGCTGAGTCAACTTCTTTGCTTGGCAAAAGATTTCTATCTGTATCTTTTAGTATTTTAAATAGTTGAATTATAAATGAAATCAAACTTTAAATACACAAGCAATGTGATTATGAATCCCTCATTTTGAAAGTACTTCAAATCTGGATTTTCAAATATCAAAGACAATGGGAACTAACATCCTTTGCCTATTTTTAGGAACTTTAATTATATTATTTCACTTAATCTCCATAATCCTGGAAAGATAGAAGGCATTATCCCCATTTTACAGATGAGGAAAACGACTCAAAAAGATTAAAATTTTACTTTTAAGTGATCTCAATGACCCAACTCTATCAAACTACTTCAAACAGCATGGACAAGTGGGAAGGAGAAAAAAAAAAAAAAGAAATTATTTGAACTGGGTTCTAGTGTCAGTTGCAACACCATCTGATAATCACAGGCAAGAATCCAATCTGTTTAAGCCTCATCTTTCTCATCAATAATGGGAATAATATGGGTCTTGAATAAAATATACTGTCTGTAGAAACACATTGAGCTGTGGATTTTACACACCACCAAGTTGATTCTGACTCATAGTGACCCTATAGGACAACAGGACAGAATAGAACTGGCCCGGCCCATAGGATTTCCAAAGCTGTAAATCTTTATGGAAGCAGATTGCTACATTATTCTGTCTCAGAGAGGTGGGTGGGTTTTAACTGCTGACCTTTTGGTTAGTAGCCGGATGCTTTAACCACTATGACACCAGACCAGAGCAGACTCACTGCTTTGAAGTTGGATCCAACTCACAGTGACCCCCTCCTTGGGTTTCTGAGGTGGTATCACTACGGAAGTATATCACCTGATCATCCTTTGAAGGAGTGGCTGATGGGTTTGAACCGCCAGCCTTCTGGTTTGCAGTCAAATGCCTTAGGCACTACACCACCAGAGCTGCTCAAGTATCACCTTGTTGTTGTTGTGTGCCGTCAAGTCGAACCTGACTCATAGCGACCCCTCCTTGGGTTGCCAAGGCAGTATCACTACGGAAGTAGATTGCCCAACCTTCCTTCCAAGGAGTGGCTGGTGGATTTGAACCGCCTTAGCAGGTATGAAAAAGCAAAGGACATAGGGATTGAGGATTACACGTTTTTAGACTGTTTTAATTGTTATAAAGAATAATATACTTTCATAATAAAAGGATAAAATAATTTGAAAATGCTAAAACGCTTTATATATAAGGTATCAACTACTATACCAGACCAATCCTTCTAGAAACTTAAACAAAATAGATTAAACAGAATAAAAACTTTCCATACTCTAATAAAAAACAAACTCACTGCCATCGAGTCGATTCTAACTCATAGCGACCCTCTTAGGTTTCCAACATGGTAAATCTTTACAGAAGTAGATTGCCCAGTCTGCCCTCCATAGAGTGACTGGTGGGTTTGAACCTCTAACCTTCTAGTTGGAAGTCAAATGCCTTAAGGCACTACGCCACCAGAGCTCCTTCTAGTCTCTAATAGAGACTTATTAAAATTAAAATTTTCCTATTTCTTAGTTAACAGGTGGAAAGTTTAAAGTGGAAAAGTTAAGTTGTTTGCTAAAAAAAAATTATAGAGCAAAAATGACTGATAATATGCTTTAATTTTATTTTGTAGTACCTCTCTCTAAGAGAAGATTAGAGGATTAATACAACCAGAGAGAAAAAAGTGTTTTGAGAAAAATAAAAAAGCTATACAGTATGAGGCAGTTTAATTTTCAGGACCCATAATATAATAGTTATTTTTAAAAACTCCTTTTTACAAGGCCTGTTTATTAAATACTTTCTGTAACAAAAAACAGATAATTTATTTTGAACATTTTCACTATGAAAATCCTGCAATCCACTTACTAAATGATTTTGCACAAATGAACTTCTTACAGATGAAAGGTTGGATTATTTTGTTAATCCTTACCCATAGTTTGCTTTAAGGGAAACTAGCTGGCACCCTTCCACTTCAGACTCATGTGGACAAAGTGTAACATAAGCAAGCTGGAATAAACACTTGAAAGATCTTGGATATACACAGATATCTGAACAGCCCATAGTAAGATTTTATTTCAGAGCAGGAAGAAAAATTCTCTTTCATGCACATATTAAAGGGCTTTCTACTGGTTTCTGTTAAGGACACAAATGGAAAAAAAAGTACTACTGACAAAAAACACAACACTGTAGTACTAAGCACACTGCCAAAGTACCGAGAAGCAACTAATTTTTTTTTTTTAAATCACTTTTCAAGCATTTTTGAATCTGGAAAAAAAAAGTACTTTTTCTTATTAATGGGTAATCCAAGTAAGGGTCTTATTTCCTCAATTAAATTGTATTTATTTGTCTTGAACATAAAACTTCCCTTATGAGGAATACTACATTTTCATGCAAAATTTCTACAATTAACCTAAATTTTCAATTTATTTTTTTCTCTCTGTACTAGTGACCAAATACTATAAATAAAAAATTCAATGGCATGTTCAATTTTTTGAACCATGGATCATGTAACTTAGATGATTACTGACTCTACAGATATTTTTGCCAGGCTTTTAAAAGCTGCATCTCCTGGCATGAAACCAACCATTTTTAATATTAAAGTTATTTATTAAATAAAAATGGATAAAATAGTAATAAGTACAACACTAATGAACCACAATATCTTACTGAGAAACTAAATATGAAAAAAATGCTAGCACTAAACCTTCAAACTGCAAAAATAATTGACAATTGAATGAAAAAAAATAATAGAGTAAAAATAACTAGGATAATTTAATTAACTTTAAAATTTAAAATCCATGAATAGTATAATACAATGTCCCAACAGGTAAATACTATGCTTTTAAAGCTTAGGACATCTCTTAAGAACTAGAGTCTTGGCAATGCCTACAATTGTGGCCTACCATTGACTACCATGTGTTAAGTTTTAATAATTTTTGTATGCTAAAGAGCAATCAAATGATAAATGTGATAGCTGCTATTAAGCATATCTTAAATAAAACCTCTCAAAAGCCAGTCTGATTCTGCTATAGGATATCCTTGATTTAGAAGCACCCCAAAAGGCAAGGCAGTCTCTGATTGGGGATACAGAGCTATTGCAGGCCAAATGTGATTTGATCTGGGGTTTTCCTTAGACTTCTTGCCAAACTAAGGCTGGATTCATATGCCCCAATACAAATCAGAATCAGATTGGCCTTGAAAGGAATGCTTAAACTTTTTCAATGGATTGAAAAATCTGTTGAATACTTATGTTTTAGTATGAACCTTTAATTTCTTGGCCTTGCAAAGCAGGGAATCTAGATCTCTATCAGATTCTTTTTGTTGCAAAATTTTAAATGGGTACATCCATCTTGGTATGTATCTCATAAAAATAGATGTTAAAATTATAAAATTAAGCAGCAGCAATTCACAAAGAATAAACGATAACACCAGAAAACAACTTATTTAAAATCGTCTAAACCTAGTGGGAAAAGAAAGCGAGCCAAAATGAGTGCCAACTTCTGCATTAGAAGCGGACAGCAATCTGAAATATGTACTGTACAGACCTACAAACTCCCAGGAATCACTGCTTGGCGAAGTAAGTTTCCATTCCATTGCATAGTGACAGTATGTACTCCTTTATACTTGCCCAAATTTCGCATGTATATCTTCTCAGACAATGAAGCATTTTAAATCCTTCTATTCTTTGGGCTAAAAACATTTAAACCTCATAATCAAGTAACTAAGCATTACATTGGTCAGATTTTTAGGCTTTTTCGTTATAAATAAGTCTAAAGGCTAGCTAACTCTTAACCGGCGTTTGCATTAGTATTGCTGGTCTGTGTGATTCTTAGGAACAGTCAATGGGAAAGGAAGTTATACGACTTTATAATTAGAAAAGTAAAGAACTGGCTAAGAGTGGGCCAAAGTGGAGCGTAGACTCGGAAAAGTGAAGGTTGGAAGGTAAGGCTGTAGACTGTTAAAGCCCGAGCGGGAGAGGGGGAGCCTGGGCGAAGAGCGCAGAACTCTTCTACCTTGCGGGGCAGAAGAGGAGAATGAATCCGAAGGCCTGGTAAGCGAGCGCGCAGGTGAGAAGACGTGTTTGCCTCCCCTAAAATGGGAAGATCAGAGGAAATTAGGAATTTGTAAGAAAAAAGCAAAGACGCTGGAACATAGAACCTGTTGGAAAACTAATACGGGGGGAGGGGGCGCCAAGTCATGGTTGGGAAACACCGCTCGCACACACCCTAGGAACCCCAGCTAAGCGAAGGTTTTCCTTAGAGGAAATGGCTCTGCTGGCGCGGAGACGACCGCAGCCAACCCTGCGATCCCTGCCGGGGTGTGCGGGGCTTACCTTTGAGCTGGGGCAAGGGGTGCAGCTCCGCCTGGCTACCCTGGCTGCGGAACTGCGACGAGCCCTGTGAGCGCTTCTGCCTCTGCGCCTTGCGCACCGATTTCCGGGTGAAGCCGTCCACTTTCTCCGAGGCCGAGATGGCGGCGCTGGCAGCCCCCGCCGGCGACGACGACGACATCTCCGCGGCCCTGGCGCTTGGCAGCTCGGGCTTCTGCTTGCACGGAACGGGCAGCGGCGGCGATGGCAGGAGGAGGAGGAGGCGGGGGAGAGGCGCGGAGAGCTCGCGCCCCTCCGCCCCGTCCCCCCAGCCACACCGCCCTCCCGCTCTCGGGTGCCGCCGAGCTTCTCCTCGCCGCCCGCCAACGCCTTACGGCCACATCTCAGTCCCGGAGGTTCCTGGTCCCCGCAGCGCAGCGAGCTCCCGGGGTTGACGAGGGAAGGGCGGGGGCAGAGGGGGGTGAAGAAGTTGTTGACTCGGGGCGCGGAGGGCGGGTGGAAAGGAGACCGAAGTTTAGACAACTGAGGTGAGGGCGCGCGGTCGCTGAGCGCTCTTCTCGCCTCTTAAGCTGAGGTCGCCAGCCGGCCGGCCGGCCACCGCTTCAGTGGCAGCTGCCACCGCTACCCGTCCTGCCTGGAGCCGCCTCCCGGGGCGCTGCCATCGCGGGTCCCTTCGGAGCGGCCGCCGCGGTGCCAGCTCTTCCCTGTCAGCGCCGGCCCCTCATCTCCCGAGGCGGTGACCCGCCGCCCCGGCCTCGGCGCGCACACACTCGCTCTTTGCAGCACCGAGCGGCCCAACCCCCACCCCCACGCCCGTCTGCCGCCCACGGAGAACCCCCAGCGAGCGACCGCTACAACTTGAGAAGGTGGTTGGTACAGGGAAGGGGGGAGTGTGTGTATGCCTGTATGCGCGCGCGCAAGAGTGCGCGGCTAGGGGGAGGGGCCTCGTGGGAGGTGGGAAGGGAGGAATTTGATTGACAACTTCCGCGGGGTCCTGCCAGCCTCTCAGATGCTGCAAGAGGTCGGCTCTCATGGGGAGGAGAGAGACAGGAGGCAGGAAAGCATGCCAGATCTCTTAGCCAATCACAGAGCTCAGCGCAGGAAAGGGGGTGAGGCGTAGCCTCCTGGACGATTTATTACGTGTTTGGAACTGGGAGATTAGGCAAAGGAAGGGGGCGTGGTTATGTGACGGACTTCGGCAATAGCCAGTCGTAAGTGAAGGCGGTGAGCGGGTGCCAACTGCGTCACAACAGTGTAACGAATCCTCTTGGGATGGGAAAAAAGTGCCCTTCCATCTGTAAGCACATTTACACGCCTGCGCAACAGCTCTAGGCTATAATTGCTTGCCTGACAGCCTGTAGGAAGATTGGAAAACTACTAGTGGGGAGGTTTAGAGAGCAAAATAGAGTACTCCTTCCTTACCCTCTCTTCTCTGATGGCCAGTGAGGAACTGAAAGCGACTGAGTGGGAGTCTGAGGGTTGGGGCGAAAAGGAGAAAGAACGCTGGGTGTTTTGTCACTTACAGGGGGTGGTCAAAGGTCGAGTGGGGATTGAGCTGTGTGATTGAAGAGCAAAGAAGCCTCCGGGAAATACTATCTGGCGGGCCTTGGAACCTCACTGGCCCTAAACTGTTTAAATGGTAGTTTCCGCGTAAAGTTATAGTCCTTTGGTAGTTTAGGGATCGCGGGTCTCCGAGGGCTATTCTCACGTGGGATCTGGACGATCTAACATCTACTGCTTCAAAGAATGCTCCAGATTACGCACTCCAAGAACTGTGTCATTGCCAATTTAGGGTGCTAGTAATTTACACCCCTCCCGCAAAGACCTTCAGTTACTCCAACAGAATGAGTACACATTTACTGATAAGTGGTTTGTGTATTTTTGCGCTTGTTAGCATCTTATTAGGATCTTTTCCTTGGAGATTCTGTCTTGATTTACAAGTTTCTTAAGGACAAGGACTGGTCATCTTAATTTTTTGTACAGTATGTCTCATATAATGGTCTTAAGTTTGAAAATAGATAAAAGGATTAGATTTGAAAATTGAAGAGCTAGAAGGAATTAGGAAAACAAGGGGAAAATTACAAACAATGGGAATAAACCAAAACCAAACCCATTGCCCTGGAGTCTATTCTGACTTACAGTGCCCTATAAGGAGCTCTGGTGGCACAGCTGGTTAGGCTGCTGACCAGAGGTCAGCGGTTAAACCCACAAGCAACTAACCAAGGAAGATGAGGCAATTTATTTCCATAAATATTTACAGCCTTGGGAACCCTATGGGGGTTGCTATGAGTTGGAATGCACTCTATGGCAGTGGGTAAGTAGAGACCCTATAGGACAGAGCAGAACTGCCCCATAGGGTTTCCAAGGCTGTAATCTTTACAGAAGCAGACTGCCTCACCTTTTTCCCACATAGCAGTTTGTGGGTTCAAATTGCAGAACTTTTGTAATTAGCAACCAAATATTTCACCACTGTGCCACTAGAGCTCCTTCCAGTGGGAATAAGATGTATAAAGGTGCAGAGCCATGAGAGGATAATATGTTAGGGAACTGAACTTGGTACGAACCTTCCACAGTGGGTAGACGATAGAGATCACAAAAAGCTTTGTATACAGGTACTGACCTTTATCCTTAAGTCAGTGGGGAAACACTGAAGGGTTTTAAGCAGGAGAGTAGCATGATCAAATCTGCAATTTGGAAAAATTACATTGTTGGCAGTGTGAAAAATGAACTGATTCCAGAAGACAAGGCCAGAGGTAGGGAGACCAGTGGTCCAGAAGAGGAATAATGGGAGCCTGAATAAGGCATCTGAGATGGGATAGAGAGATCAGGCTTGGGAGATGTAGAGAAATAAAAGGATTTGATGATTTATTTGTTGTGGAGGGAAAAGGTCAGAGAGGAGGAAAAGATGACTCCCAGATACCTGAATTGAGTGACTGGTGAATAGTGATTTAGTGAGACAGAGGGGAGGAGGAGATTAACATAATAAATTGGACATACTGAGTTTAAGAGATGTGCAGTAAACAGTTGGATAATGCAGTCTGACAAGAAAGAGATCTGTGCTGGAGACAGAGATTTGAGAGTCATCAGTATGCAGATAGTGAATGGAGCTATAAGAATACTTACAATCTTCCTCAGCCTGTATGACCGTGAGACCAGAAGAGCTAGATGGTGCCCAGCTCCATTGTTACCTACTTGGAGGGGGATTGGTGCAGGAAATCCTGCATAGAGTGGGAGAACAATGTGGAACAAAACTCAAAATCATTAAAAAAAAAAAAAAAAAAAAGCACTGGTCTGATAGAGCCTGGTGAGACCCCTGAGACTATGGCCCCTAGTTACTCTTCAGGTCTGGAATGGAACTCATTCCTATGGCTTCCAGACAAACAACAGGCAGGCATATGGGGTGAACATTTACATAAGGTAGATATATTCCTGGGAGCAATCAATCATTCATGGGAGAACAGAAAGGCAGTGTTTGCACAGGGAGACATCTGGTGTGGGGTGGAAGTACATGGGAGGGAAGGACACAGGGAAGAGGTAACTATACGGAGGAAATGGGAAGAGAGCTGTTACATTGTGGGGAATTGCAGTCAATGTCATGAGACAAAATGTGTATGAACTGCTGTATGGAAAATGAATTCGCTCTGTAAAATTTCACCCAAGTGAGAAGGATAGAGGACTGAGAGAAAAACCTTGAGGTACCCATAGTTGAAGAAGCAACAGAGAAAGATGGTGTCATATTATGGAGTGTCAACAAGTTTGGGTATAATCTGAGGTCAGTGGGGGAGGTGCTGAAGAATTTTTAATGTTAGATATTTTGTTTTCCTTTAAATATTTTATTGTGCTTGGGTTCCCATTTAATAATTTCTATGCATATTGTGTCAACATTCTCATTATTTCCATTCTGGTTATTTTTTTCCCATTAATATATCTTCCCTGACCTTATGATCTTTGCTGTAACATAAATGTTGACTATTTGGTCTCATATAGATGATTTTTTCCCCCCAAAGGAACACAGTAGTACTCATGGGTGATATTGTTCATTTTATGAGCCAATCTGTTAGTTAGCTGAAAGACACCTCTGGGAGTGGTTTCAGTTCAAAGTTTAAATAGCATCTCAGGGCAGTAATCTCAGAGGCTCCTCTAGTCTCTACTGGTACAGTAAGCCTGGCCTTTTCTTTTCTTTTTTTTAAGAATTTGAGTTTTGTTCTACAATTTTCTCACATTCTATCTGGGACTCTCTGATACCAGAACAGTCAGTCATGGTAGCCGAGGACCATTTAGTTCTTCTGATATTAGGATAGATGATGGCATGGTTTGTGTAGGCAGTTAGTTCTGTGGACTAGTTTCTCCTTTGAGTTTTTGGTTTCCTTCTTTTTCTTTTTCTTTAGAGTAGAGACCAATAATTATATCTTATATGGCCACTCACAAGCTTTTAAGACCCCAGATGCTACTTAACCGAACTAGGATATAGAAACTTTATGGACTATGTTGTGTGGGTTGACCAAGTTGTTCCATGAGACTATGGTCCTAAGCCTTCAAACCCATTAAACCAATCCTGCAAAATGTTTGGTTATGTCTGGGAACCATTTTAACTGGCCGCCTCTATGCTTTATTTTATACACACACACACACACACACACACACACATATAGCACATACAAACATGTATACGCAAATGCTTACAGATACACCTATACTTGCACACATATACCTTTAATGGAAGATGTTTTCCTGAAGGTGGTGTTTTAAAAAGACTTGGGGGGTGTGGAAACCAAAGAAACTGGTTGGAGGTGGTTGTAGATGTCCAGGTGATAAGGACTCGAACAAGTGGTGCATAACAGGGTGTGTCAGCATCAACCTGTGAGGCTTTTACAACACCTCCCTAGCTCTTCAAGGGAAATAAGAAGCTTGGGGTGAGACATGTGCATTTTGAAAAAAATCCAAAATGATGCTCCAACTCCTTGTCCCTACTGTGCCTGCCCACCACCCAACCCCACCCTTCCATTCCATGAGCATCAGTGGTTTAAGCTTAAAATGGCCTTTGGAATTTTGTGAATTTACAAAAGAAAAGCAAGAGAATACTTGATTAAATGTAGGTGGCAAGTCAAAGAGAAGAATTATAATTGATGCCAAAGTTTTGAATTGGGTAACCAAATGGGAGCCTTTAACAAAAAGTCCAGAAGCTGAGCCATTTGTGGTGAGGAAGAGGAGAGATGTCAAAGGGAAGAAAGAATAGGGAAGCAAAGATGAAACTAAGGTTAGACATGTTGAATTAATAGAAACTGAGTTTTTTAAGGTCATTGAAGCTGGATAGCTGAGTTTTTATTTTAAAAAAGAGATGATGACATGTTGTATATTAATTTGTGGAAAGATGACTAGACTGGGCTGACAGCCTGGAGTGGGCCAGAGCAAAGAAGGAAATTACACAAACAACTCAAGCCTAATTTTCCTCTTTAAGGGAAAAAAAAAATTCATGGCAGAAACAAATGAGCAAAAGATACGTAGTCTGCTGTGTGCTTCAGTATTTTCCAGTGTCAAAGGGTCAGTCAAACTACACAGAAGATGGCAAGGGCCCAGGGAAGCTACTGGTATCTGTTGTGGCAGTGGGCCAAGGGTCAGAAACAAAGCTACCTTTGCTATACAAAAATGGGTGAGTGACCACTTTGAATACACCATGTGCATACACACACACACACACATACTCATACATACTCACTCATTCACTCTGTGTTCTTAATTCCTGAGAACTTTCTAAACACAACTGTGATAAAACCTCTCCTGTGGTATCTTTGTAGGAGCTCTGGTGGTGTATCTACTTCTGTAGTGATACCGCCTTGGAAATCCAAGGTGGGGTC